GCTCACTGCAACATCTGCCTCCTGGATTCAAACGATTCTCCTGCTTCAGCCTCCCGAGCAGCTGAGACTACACGTGTGTGCCACCGTGCCCAGCTAATTTTTGTATTTTTAGTAGAGATGGGGTTTCACTATATTGGCCAGGCTGGTCTGGAGCTCCTGACCTCGTGATCCACCCGTCTCGGCCTCCTAAAGTGCTGGGATTACAGGCAAGAGCCATCGTGTTTGGCAGGATACATTCAACTTTTTAAAGGTATCCTAAACCACATTTTCAAAAATGAGTAGGGTAGCTTTGAAGAGCATCTAATCTGCATAGAACCCATTCTTATTTCTGGTGTTTTAGGGAAGACAGACTCTAGTCAGCTGAGCAAAGACTTCTTTAGAAGAATGGCCCACGGTGAACTGCCACATTTGTAGGTACACACAGTGCTGCTTGAATGGCCAGAGTTGAACTTCCTTTGTTCTCTCCAGTCTCTACCAACATCATAGTCACCCAATGACACAAGAATTGACTAAGTGTGTAGCTAGTTGAAGACTCATCTGGAGGGCTTGTTGAAATGCAGCTTGCAGGACCCCATACCCAGTGTTTCTTATTCAGCAGGGGCACAAGAATTTGCCTAACAAGGTCTCAGGTGATGCCACTAATGTTGGTCTAAGGCCTATGCTCAGAGCTTTGGAACTCAGACCCCGTAACTCTAGGTTGTGTGCTGTTTGCATTGGCACATTTATTGTGAGAATTCCAGTAAAACAAGGAGTATAATACAGACTTTTGGAGGGGTGGTGGGCTGGAGTGCAGTGGCAGAATCACGGCTCACAGCACTCTTAACCTCCTGTGCCCAAGCCTTTCTCCTGTCTCAGCCTCACAAATAGTTGGCACTGTAGGCATGCACCACCACGCAAGGCTAATTTTTAGGTTTTTTGTAGAGGGGTTTCACCATGTTGCTCAGGCTGGTCCAGAACTCCTGGGCTCAAGTGATCCGCCTGCTTTGGCCTCCCAAAGTACTGAAACTACAGGCAGGAGCCAGGAGGCCAAAGCCGCCCTGAAGACAGAAATCGTTAACCAAGTATTGTTTGTCTTTCAGCTCTGTGTGGGGGCTGGATTCCTTCAGGAAGTTGCCTCTACATCTGTGAGCTGTGCTTATTCTTTTCTTATTTGAATTGTGATAAGAATGACAGAGGGTTTAACGCTGTCATGACCATGCGTGCTGCCTCACCAGTGTGCTCCATGCAAGCATGGGATCCCTGAGAACTTACCTCTGAGCCCTGCAGCTTGTTCTTAAGGAGCTTGTTTACTTCAGGCTTTCTAGGCTACACAGCAGCAGACTTCCCAGGGAGGCATTAGAGACCTTGAAAGGAGCATGGCGAATGAGGGAAAAGTGGCTTAATAATTGACAGCATTTTATTTTCTGGAAATAGATCAGGAAGGCACAACATAAAAACATCTTTAAAAAATTGTGAAATATAAACAGGAAACTGGACATAGCTTTTTGTTTTTAGATTTTCTTTAAAGATAGCTAAGATTTAATGAATTGAATATTTTAACTGATAATGTTCTAAACTGAATTCTGATCCTAATTGTAGTACTTATATTTATTATTTTAATGAATATAGAAATAACACTGTGGATTCTACGTAGTTTCTCTAGTATTTTTAGTTCACAAATCTCTGTAGCAGTATAACGAACAAAAGATTCTAATAGCCAGGCATGGTGGTGCATACCTATAATCCCAGTCTTGGGAGGCTGAGATAGGAGAATCCCTTGAGCCTAGGAGTTTGAAGATTACAGCAAACTATGATTATACCATTGCACTCCAGCCTGGACAACAGAGGAAGACCCTCTTTTTTATTTTTTTAAAGATTCTGTGAAATTGATTTGTTTAAAAAAAATTTACTTGTGAAAAGCACATGAGCTGCTTTTTACAATCTCAAAGTTTTTTTTTTTTTTTTTTTTGAGACGGAGTTTTGCTCTTGTTACCCAGGCTGGAGTGCAATGGCGCGTTCTCGGCTCACCGCAACCTCCGCCTCCTGGGTTCAGGCAATTCTCCTGCCTCAGCCTCCT